CAAAATCGAAAATGATTTGATTTGACAATACTTGTGAACTTTTTTGTAGTGTATGGAAATTTTTGTGAAAACTTTCGCTTACAAAGTACAGCTTAAACTTATGTCACAAATTCTATAGTATAATTAGAAAGATCACATTGAGTCGTAGGCGTCTAAAAAAGACTCCGTGGCTTCTATTAGTGTATCTATGCTTAAAATGCAACTCAATAAGATCATTCTAATTATAGAATAGGATTTGTAACATAAGTTAAAACTGTACTTTTAAGCGAAAGTTTATGCAAAAAATATCTTATAGAACAAAAGAGTTTACAAGTGTTGTCAAACTAAATCTTGTTCAATTTCGCTCCTAATGATATGATTTCAGTTTTAATGTTATTACTCCGAGAAAGTATATCCATTTCTTTAGTTTTAAATGAATATGAATAAAAAAAAGAGTTATATCTTGGTTAAAATTGACTTGAAAACAATAAGAGCGAAGAGAGTGTCCCAATTTCTGAGACTTCGAAATAAAATACTCCTGATAAAATTTATATCAGTGTTTTATGCAGGTTTTCTCTTCCTCGATGGCGCCACTACTAGTTATCTTCACATTTTTCTTTAGATAACAAGAGGACATCAGATAATAGTAGCCGGCTAATCTAACCTGTGCATGTCAATAGTAAATTAAGTTGTTGAAATAAAATAAACATTCTTGTATGTATGCATAATGCGAGAGCCTATAAATATGTTACACACGATATATTATCAAAGATTTTATCTAGACAAATTTTTAACAAACGTAAAAATGATTTTGTTACTCGTATACATCTTCGTCATTCAACTCATAAATCATTACAACTTATTCTTAATTATCTGTATACGGATAATATTATACTTACCATACGTAATATTGATGATATATTAACTTGTACTAAAGAATTAGGTATTCAAAAAGTAATTGATTTATGTATAACTTATCTTTCTCAAATTAATAAACGAACAATTTTTCAAATATTAGATATAGCATGTAAACATGATCTTTCAGAAGTTAATTATTTAGCACATAAATTTCTTATTCAATCTATTGATGAATGTATTCAAACAAAAGAATTTATTGATATTGCTTATTGGATGTTAAATCAAATTCTTTCAGATGTTACTATTGAAAAACGACAAGAATTTCATGTATTAGATCGAACATTACAATGGTTATCATGTAATCATATATCAAATACTGATGTTATTTTTGAATTATTGAATAAAATTCGTTGGCAAAATTTAACTTACTTGTCATTAAAAGAAATTTTAGCAATTAATTATGAAATACTACACATACCAATTGTTAAACAATACTTAATAAAAAAACTCAAGTATATTCAAGATTGTTTTTATATTTATATGTATTATTTCATGTTTATTAGTGATATATACAATCATCAAATAGAAAATCGACGACAAAAAGATAGCTTATTACAAACTAAGGTAAAAATTAATTCCTTACGATATAAAATCATAAATATTCGATCTTCATGCTCACCAGTAGGAAAAGCATTTCATAGCTATTTTTAAATGATTTCTTATCGATCAAAGATACAAAGTTTGCAGCTTTTGTTATGATCTTCCATCTGAATGAGACTTCAACAATAAGAATGGGTTCATAGTATCGAGATCAGAATCAATAATACCATATTATCAAAAGAAAACGAAGACTAACGATATCGACACGATTTGGGAAATAAAATACCTGATTTCATTTGAAAAAATAACCACCTTTGCAAGTATCTAATAGAAATGTGCAGGGTAAGTTTTGTTCGTATCCTGTTTAAGAGATATTTTCTAACTCTTACACTATCCGACATGTCTCTAACTTCTAACCATGTATCATTCGCCGATATAACTCATTTTTCAACAAAAATAATTCATGATAAGTAGGTTTTTTAGCTTTCTACTGATAAAATAACTACCGACAACACAACAAATAAAATCTTCACAGTGAAATAATTCCGCTCAAACTTAATCATAGCAGTGTCACAATAAGCATCTACATAAACTATTTCCATGGTGGACTTAAAACCAGTTCTTCAGAATGTGTGCCAGGAGATAAAGTGTTTTTCATTTATTTTTATCTCATAGTCATGATGAAATGAAAATAAATCAATCTATAATAAATATTATCATTTCAGTATTTATCACCTACAAATTCTACAGTTTATCTTGCAATTAATCAATCTAAAATTTTGTCATCGTCATCATCATCGAAATCTAGATGTATTCATCTAGAGTCAATTATCAATACAGAAAATCAAACTTGTTTATCAATTATAAATTTATTCTTGTTTTCATCTTCAAAAGTACTTATTATCGGTGGTGGTTTTCATTTAGATAAAACAATGACAGTTAATCAAAATGCTGGTTTGTTTTTTTCATATTATTCATTCATTAAGAATTGTAAAACAAAAGTCATAATTAGAGAATGGTCTATTTGCTTATAATATTGAAAAAGATGAATGGTTACTATTTGTACGATTACCTGATCAACGACATCATCATAAGCTAATATGGTTTAATAATCGAATTTATGTGCTTGGTATGTGCGAATATTAATGATCGTATTCTTTTCAGTCTTTAAAGCACTCACTGAAATGCAGTTTATAACATTCAGGTGGTTCATTGTCACATCCATTTGAAAAAGAACAAGTTGCATTAACTAATTGGGTTTACTTAATTGATCGATCATCATTAACAACATTTGATCAAAATAAATGGCAATCTATACCACCAATGCTAGAACAACGTGTCTATTTTGGATGTGCAGTACTCAATAATAAAATTTGGGTAGCAGGAGGACTTGGAATAGATGGAAAGTACGGAAAGAATCCATTTGAAATTAGATTAATATTGTTACTTTATTAGACCAATTCGTTCTGTTGAATATTATGATCCAGAAACTAATATATGGAAACTTGCTAAACGTTTACGATCACCTCGTCTTGGTTGTTCTGTAAGTTCATTTCATAATAAACTTTTTATTGTTGGTGGTTATGGTAATGAAAAATCAAAACCAACATTATCCAATGTTACTATCTACGATTCAGAGAAAAAAATGTTTGTCTTTTGAATTTTTTTTTTTCTTCATGATAAAAAAAATATTGTTTTTGTCGATTAGTTGGCTGAAAAAACAGCCACTTTCAATAGCTCGATGTCATGGACAGATGGTGACAAATTCATATTCATTATATGCTATCGGTGGTTGTACTGAATTCGAAAAGAACGATGACGATGATAATGAAATAGATAATTGGACGATGTTAAGTCTTAATCTTTTGGATAAATACGATGTTCGTCAAGATAAATGGATAACGTTAGATCATATGAAACAAGCACGTCATGATCTATGTGCTGAAATTATTGGTATGATTTGTTTATTAAATATTCGATTTAAAAAATTATGTATATATATATTTAATATACAGACGATCGTATTTTTACGTTGTATGGTGTCAATTCAAAACGAAATCATATTGTAAGATCAATGGAAAGCTATGATATTAATACGGGTGTTTGGACTACATTGTCTGCTCATTCTGATGATTATGTTATTGGAGCCGCTAGTTGTCTTATTACTACTTGAAATATTAACGATGTTTATCAACATTTTCGATTTATGTTGCAAAAAAACTTTTTTGTATTATACTCTTTTTTCTCTTCTAATGAAAAATCATTCACTAGTTTTCTTTCCGACTAGCACATTAAAAAATATAATATTAAATTTGTATGTTAGTACAATAGTTGAATTAATTTCAATTGGGGAAATTTATACTTATCATACTTTTCACGTTTTCTTCACATTGCATTATAGGACTTGTGTAACCTTTAGCAAATGATATTCAATAATAAAAAAATAAATATATGATTCATTGTTAATTAGCAGACAAGCGATGGTGAATTTTACTAGTGTCATATTTCTTGTTCATGTCTAACATCATCTGTGAAAATCATTGAAGCTACCTGGATAACCAATCCAATTATTCCCCAAGTCAGCCTGTACGCCATTGGTACGCGTACCGTACACGTCACACGTGCGCGTGACGTGCGAGACGCTCGGTACGCGCACGTTTTCTCACGCGTACGTACGTGTGCGCGCACCACTAGTGACGTACGTATTAAAGGTGCGGCATTAAGATAGAACTGTCCTTTGCACGATTTCTGCTTATATTTTCAGTGGTGCCGTGACGTCACGCGTACTAAATGCGCACCAAGTGTACGCAACGCGCACCAACCCAGTACAGTCCGTGTGCCCTTGGTGCGCGAGACGTCACGCCTAATGTCTCGCGCACCAATGCGCACAAGCGTACCGTACCCCGTACCGATAGCGCACGGACTGACTTGGGTCTGAATTATCTACTGATAGCGACGCTGTATAACTTTATTCACAAGTTAGATTTCCTTTTAAAACGTTTTTATATAATGTTTAGAAAATTTATTTTTACTATAAACTTTCTATCTAGTTCATAGTGCGTGATAGATAGTCTAATATAAAAAAAAAAGAATAGATGAACATAGAAAATCTCAATGATACAATCAAGAGTTTTAATTAAAAATGTGAAATGCAATTTTAACTAAAAAAAAAAAAAAATTATTCAAACGATCACAATTGAGTAACGATTAGTAATATTCATTTAATCAATAATCATTTTCAAATATTTTATCCTAAAATTCAAATACTCAAAATTTTTTGAATGAAGCAAATCATTTTTTATTTGTAAATCAGAAATACTTTTGAATTTTTCTACTATATACTTAGGGTGTACCAAAAGTTCTGATCACGGCGTTACTTAGCCATATAGTAAGCTTTAAAAATCTTTCTTTCTATATAAGCCTGATAGAGAAAAGAATGCTCTATTTTTCTATGCTNCACAAAAAGAAATGGATATCCAAAAAATTTTGTAGAATGTCAGATAAGATGCACCCTAAACAGGTATATGAATAAAAGAAATACACAAACAACAAATGAGAAGAAAATGGAAAGTAAAGAACTTAATAGCACATCGACTGATAGAATAGTAATTAATGTGCCATATGTAGGTAGGACAACACAACAATTGAGTAAAGATATAAAAAAGATTGCTAAAGAAATAAAACCAACAACACAAGTGACAATAGTACAAAGACCACCAATAGCACCAAGACAGATGTTTCAAAATAAGGACAAAATACCAAAAAATCTACAGTCAAATATAATCTATGAAATAAATTGCAGCTCATGTTCCGCCTCATACATTGGAAAAACAGTTAGACAAGCATGTAGAAGGTTAAAAGAACATGGAGCACCAACAGAAGCATTGATAGAATCAAATAATGAAAATCTAAGACGCTCACAGAGAATTGCTAAACTAAATGCTAAAAATAAGGTTCCAATTTCATACTATGAATCGGATAGCGGTGAAGATGATGATCTTCCTAGAACACCTTATACATCAGCAATCAAGCGTCATATGACCTGTACTAAACATAAAATTGACTGGAAGAATTGGAACATCTTGGATAAAGATAAACATCCATATAGATTACTTGTAAAAGAAAGTCTAGCTATAAATGCAAAATCACCTACATTAAATCTAACAACAAGGTCAGTACCACTAGTTGTATACCCGGAAGGTCGAATCAATAAAAAAAGAAATCAAGAGTTTTGTCAACAACATCAAGCAATACAACACTGATCCTTCTTCTCACACTTTTAATTGTATCACCTATAATTTTCAAAGCTTAACCTATATCATATGTGTATTTATATAATTTCTTCAATATATAATTCCTAACTTTAACTTGTAACACCATTTACCCCCCTATCATACTCTTGTCTTAATATTTTCTCATTGTTGAGTCACTACTCATGTTGAGTTTCTCAATATACACGTATTGTTAATTTCGTTTCTTACTTTCATTTCTAACTTACTATGTAATCCCATATTTATTTCCTCTATGTTCAATTATACTTTTATTGGTTTTCTTCTCTCTACTCATATTTACTCATAATATCTTATCTTACTCCTTTATCTTATATTAAAAGTCCCAATTCCTTACTTTTATTTTCACTAATTATAATATTTAATGTGAGTGCCCTATCTGTCTCCTTTCCCCTACCTATGTAATGTAATCTCTACTACAATAATTTCATCTCATTTCCACTATAATAATGTAATCTTACTTCCAATATAATAATTGTTCCTTTTTAAGCGATTTTGTTCTGTACTTTACTTGAAAATGATAATAAAATTATCGAAACGTCGTATGACTAAAAACTAAATTATTTTCTTTTCTTTATTAATTAATTAAGCTGCTGTAAAAAACTAATCATTTTTTATAACAGATGCAAAAATGTGTTTGATTTAGTTCAAATGATTTTAGGGTCGACATTTCCTTTAATTGAGAGTAAAAGAGGAAGATTTTTATCGATTAAGTTTTTCTAAGACTTGAGTTTTGGTATGTGACTTTTATTAAATAAATCTCTAAACTGTTTTCTGAACTAAGATATTGATGTTACGGGATACGAGCTGAAAAAAAAAGATTAGTCTAATATAATCAATTCAATAATACATTTATTCAAACAAAACACAAAAGTTTCCCAATTTTCACCGATATTTTCAAGAAAAATAAAAGATTTTACTTTTTATATGAATTGATATTTCACTTGTTATAATTTAAGAATTTTCGATTAAATAAAAAGACGGATGTTTTATATTTGTCTATTAATGAGAACACATCTCAACTTGAATACAATGTCGAAAAGCATTCCTTCTGACGATCATTATTATGAACAATAAGAAAAGAAGAAAAACAAAAGACTTACTATCTTATATTTCAGTCATTGGTGAACCTCATTCAGTAATATATTGACTTTTGGCATTAAATTTGATAATACGACTATTACAATATCTAAATTAAGTAATTAATTTAATAAATTAATTCTCTATTTTAATTGTTAATATTATCCATTATCTATAAAGAAATCTCCATTTTTCATCACAGCAATATCTGCTGGTCGACAAAGTTGAGTTGCTCTAGAATGTGGTTGAAACATTTCACAAACTATTAATGCTGGATGTGTTAAATCATTTGGTTCAAACAAAAACTTGATGTATAGCTATATCAGTTAATCAAAAATTTACTGTATGATCAATTGTTAAATCATATAGCATATAGAACATTTTTGCATCCCAACGAAATTTTATTTGTCCTGTACGAGTATCAATATGAAGAACGGCATCTTCATCAATAGGACCATAAAGTTCATTACGAAAACGATAATTTCCAGTAAAAATATCTTTTTAAAACAAAAAACAAATATATATATATATAAAGTAATTAATTGAAAAAGTTTTCATTTTACTTATCCTCCCATATTCGTGATACACGATGAAATACAACAAGTTTATCATTAACTTTATTTAATGCTAATCCACCTATTTCACCGAGATGGCCTGGTAAGAAATTCACATCAGGTCATGAATCTACACAAATATATATATTAACTAAAAATAAAATAAGAAAAGAAAAATCTTATGATTCGCTTTTAAACGTTTTTTTTTATACATAATACGAAAAGCAACAAACACAACATCAATATGACGTAAAATCTCACTACTCATTATTTTTGTATTATGTATTTTAACTGTTTGTTCTTTTCCATATGTTAAATGTGTTGGTAATAAATAATCATAATTTTGTGCATCAATATATTCATATTCAGGTAAACCAAGATGAGATAAAACTTTATTGAAATCATATGAATCCGATTTTTTATTACGATGCCGCATATTTTCAACTTCTTCCATATAATCTTTATAAGCTGGATCATTCATTGATGATAATGATCATTGTTTTCCATCATCTGTTCATCAGATAATAATAAAATTGAATAAAAATTAACTATTGATGGATTCATTGCATATTCAGCATGAATATGATGACCATTACTTTTACCACCAATATCGGATGGTTTACGTGGAGAAACTTCATTGTCAGATGGAATAAGATTAAACAAAGGAAAAATTGATTTATTATAAAAGATAATCATTGGTAAAGTATGATCTTATAAAGAAACTTCTCAAGATGATAAAAAGTTTTTCAAGCAATACTTCTGTCATTATGTTGAGTCTCGTGAGAATAAGCAAAACTAATTAATGTTCTTCTCTTTATTGCTTTCTTCTCGAGTAATGACAATTTTATTGAGTTTGTGATCTAGTGCTAGATAAAGAGTGATCAGAAAGTAATTTGACAAAATGTTCATTCATTTTTCAACCTCGTTAAAGAGTCTATGATATTTGAAAAACATTGGATTAGAATCAGAATTTTATGTTCTTTTCGAATATGACCCATGGATGAACCTTTTTTAAGACTAAAACCATCGGCTGGATCGAATCAAAGGTCGATGATCCATGGCTTGGCTTTCTTCAGCACGGTTCGGCATATTGGGACCTCTGTGCCTGATACATATAGATATTTTCTTTTGTTATATAACCAATCATATGCGTATATATATACATATACATTCTTTCGTCCTTTATGTATATATGTTGTGATCAAAATTAAAATTCAGTCAAATTTAAAATTTGACTGAATTTTAATTTTGACTACAACACTCCTTACAGTAGAGAAAATTAGATCAACTTTTTTAGTCTGTACATTTATTTATTATCAATAAAAATTTTAAATATTAACGTTCTTTGAAACCAGGCGTTTAAAAACAACGACATTGCTTTCAAGATCAAAAATAACTCTTACTTTTTCCAATTTATATTAAAGTTATGTTTTTCTTTTCTAGTAATTCATCTATGACAAGTTTAACTCCATCAGAAGTCACGCTTTTGGCTACGATTCATGCACCAACAGATGGCATGATTTTTCCTTATTCGTTTGCTTTTGTGTAGACTAACAGAAAATACTGCGCACTACAAAAAACTTCATACCTGTAAATATTTTCGTATAGTGTAAAATCTGAAAGTTGAATTCGATCATTGAAGACATTTTCAGATATTCTGTTATCGAATTCAACTTTCAAGTTTCATGTAGACGGAGAAGAGAAAGTCATGAAGAATCATTCATGGAAAACTTATTTAGTAGCAGATAGATGTAAATAAAAATGATGTCTTTGTTTCATTTATTCGATAATAGTAATAAAGGTTCAATTTTTCAATACAAATTCTTCTATAGAAAAAATCCGAGATCGTAATGAAAATTGTTCAGAAATTCTTTCGGTGCACAACAATGACCTTACTATTGAGATTTAACTATTCAATCAAGTAGTCAAAAACATGTTCTTTCTCAAACTTAATTTTGTTGTTCTTATTAAATTTTTAGATCATTGCACAATTTCATCTGAACTTGCTTCTGTTCGTCATTCTCGTTGTTACAACTCTCTTTACAATCGACTTAATATACAAAATGATGAATAATTTGAGAAAGTATACATGAAAAAAAAATTCTGATAATAATCAACATACAATAACATTGACACTAATTCATAAATGTAAAACATTTAGTTTGTATTAATAATGAAATTCAACAAATAAGTCTTTGTACAAAATTTAATCTAGAATGTTTTCAAATGATACCGGAATATATATCCGAGAATTAATTGAGCAAAGGTTTCCATTTTTCGTATAATATCAAGATTGAAAAGTTGAACTGCTTTTTGTTTTTTTTCTAATGTATATTCTAATTATTTACAAATTACTTATCATATAAATTACCCATTTAAGATGTTAGGAACTAATTAATTAAAAAACGGCAATTTTCAGCAAACCGGCGTAGTTTCCTCAGAAATACTGGAAAAACTGTGTTTCAAATTTCCATTTAAAACTTTAAACAAAGACGCACATCAGTAGAATTCATTTATTAGGAAAACTAAACATCTTGTGATTGTTTCTCTCCTTAGAGACATGCTTATGGGCAAAAAGATCTAAAGATTTGACAATAAACTATTCCTATTGATGAGAGGAGTTACATTGTTCTGCTAAAACTTACTGTCAAAATGCTATATCTCAGTAGTAATTAGTTAAGAGCATGAACTTTTTGCAGGATGCATAATTCACTGTAGCCGCATGATATATATAGTCTCGACTTCAAGTCGATTAGATACTTGAAGAAGTTCCTGCATAAGAACCGAATTGATCAGTTCGTGAACTTAATCTTACCTATCTCGGTATCAAATCGTTTAATTTGAAATTTAATAGACACAATCCGCTGAAATATTGATTAATGAAATAATGAAAATCGTCCTACAAACTTAGATAATGAACAATTCGTTTTCTTTCTTTTTTTTGTCTATGCATCTCTTTCAACACATGGACATTACTATTTTTTTCTAGTTTTCATAATGAATTTATAATTCTAGATCATGATACCATCAAATCAACAATCTGAAACAGAATATTTATCATTAGTAACATCTTGTAAATGTTTACCAACTTTATCTTGCTATGATCAATTAACAGAATTGAATTTATCAAATTTGCAATTAATAAATATTGACTCATTTCCATTTGAACAGTTTCCTAAACTAAAGTCTCTCGATTTATCTTATAATCAAATAATATCAATTAATTCTGATTGGTCAAAATTATCTCAACATTTTATTGAGTATTTAAATTTAAGTCATAATAAATTAGAAACACTTCTATTTCTAAAAGATTTTAAATATTTAAAGAGCTTAAATGTAACAAATAATTTACTTCGAAATAATGAAAGATTTTTATCATTATATATTTGTCCAACAATAGAATATTTAATTGATTCTAATCAAGAACAAATTCATGATGATAAGTTAAAACTTGATCAATTATTATTATTAATTCAAACAAACATGGATCATTTATGGTCGCTATTAAATCATGATAAACATAAAAAAGATGATGAAATGTCACAAAACTTACTAGATCATTTTCGTCAATCAATAATAAAACTTATTGAAAAAGAAAACATATTTTCTCAATTTCATTTATCATTATTAGGAAATTATTTAATTGAAAAAAAGATAAATGAATTTTATTCTCGATCAAAACAAAGTTTCAAAACATATTTAACTGATAATTTTAATCTATCAATTACTATCAACGAGATACCGAAAATATTATTTGAACCATTAAAATTTCTTCGTTGTCATCATAAATCTAATAATGATTTATCAACAATATCTGTATGTATGTGTGCATTTGAGCCAAATACATCAAATAATATATTAGCAACATGTGGTGGTCAAAAAGTGTGTTTCATTGATTGTGATACTTGCGAAATAACACATCTATTTCAAGTTGATACATTACGTTCGACAGTAATGCCAACTAGTCGAAAGATAAAAAATAAAAATAAAAAAATAAATGCAGAATATTTTTCATGTTTATGTTGGATTGAAATTGAAGATATTAATGAGAATTTGAAAGTATTAGCTGTTGGATCAACAAATGGACATATTTATCTTTTATCACAAAAATGGAATCTTATGTTCGGACATATTGAATTATCTGTAAGTTATTTAAATATGATTTATTTAGTTCGCCAAAGCTTGTCAAGAACATAATCATTGATAGGTTTGAAATATTTTTTTTTTAAATTGTATAAGTTTCTACAAAAATTCTTTTCCTTATTCATGAAGTAACAATATCAGAATTAATAAAATAATCTCAAGCTTTTCGTTATATAACATATATTTGGTTGTACAAAAGCTTTTTTATGTATATCAACAGATAGAGGAAAGTGGTCGATAGCAAAATCTAAAAAAAATTGACCCATGTCGAATATTTGTAAAAAAAAATGGGGATATTCTGTTTGAATTCTTCATTTTTTTTTACGATTTTTATAAGTCTTGCATAGTTTACTATGATTAAACATTTTCTTAAAGTTTTATTTTTCATAAAGCTGAAATCGTTTGTTTTTCGGTACTTTTAGACTTCATCAATCAGTTGTTTGACTTGGCATTCAAGTAATCCATATACATTAGCCATTGGTTCATATCATATCGTTCGTTGTATTAATATTCGATCATATATCGATCGACTTGAATCTTTTATACGTAAACAAAACAAACCAACTGCACAATTCGATTATGCTGATTCATCTATGTTTATTAACAAAGTTCCAATTACACATGTCTATAATCTTTATAGTGGTTATGGTCCACTTATTAATATAACTGATTTACTTTTTTGTTCATTATCGAAAGATAATATTGTTCTTCTAGTTGGTACAACTTCAGGACTTTTTATTATTAGATATCAAGAAAAACAAGAACAATTACCTATTCAACTTGCATTTCCTAAATCAATATGGACTGTTAGTGAACATATTGAATCATTTTGTTTAATTAATACTAGAACTTATTTAATTGCTATGAATATTCTTGGTCTTGATCAAATTTGTTGTTTTGATCTTCAACAATCACTTAAAGATCAACAATTACATATTATTTACTTATTATCAAATCCTTCTCGACAAATTCCAACACGAATAACTACATTTTCAATAGATAACAAAAATAATATGAATGAATCATTTGAATGTATTATTGGTAGTGATGAGAATTCATTTTTTTATCATCAAATTCAAACAGATAAAACAACAAAAACAAAAAAGTCAATTTTTGAAAATAAACAATTTAAAATCTTCTGTGAACAAAATGAAGTTTCTCAATCAATGAATATTTTATCATCTAGTCTAAATGAACATTATTTATGCTTAACTACAAATAATAATCTTATATGTATACATAAACGACAATGACACATGTATTTATATTTCGATGTAACTTATTTTTTTTTTTTTTGTTAAATAGAAAAAAAAGAAAAAGAAAAGATAGTAATATATTATTAAACAAATAAAGATGTATGACTTGAATTTTGTCTATTTTTAAAATATTGTACAGCATGATGACCTTGTACAAATGTTTCAAACATACCAGCTAATTTCGATGCATATTTACGATCACTTTCAAGCATTATTTGACGACGACGTAATGCTTGATATAATGAAAAAATCATCATACAATGATATACCAGAAAAACTATTGTAAATATAATTAAT